TCCTTATTCTTTAGTTGTTTTAGAATAGAAAAGTTATAGACATTTACTTACTTATCTGGCATCTTATAAGACTACTCAATCTAACAATTGGTACAGGTGTTCTATCAGTTGGAATTATTTAGGGGTTTAAACTGCCATAGTTTGCCATAAGTTTGTTTTAGGGGAGTGAGGAAGAAAGTTATTTCTTTCTTATTTATTTATTCATTTTTATGGTAAATAATGATGAATTATAATCCCTTAATACTACAAAAGAATTCTAAAATTCTTACCTGATACTACACCAATTCCATCATCACAGTCATAGTCAGAGACTTCACTATCACTTATTCTCTTTGACCCTATGAAGCAAATAGCAACAATTAAAAATGTTGGTTATTTAAGGGAAAAAAACCTCTCAACAACTTGAAAAATAAATGATAGGATTTTGAGTGAATCAGTTGACAGTAAAATATATATACAGAAGGAAAGTCATTATGAGTTTACCAACACTTATTTTCACACACATTTCATGATGGGAGGATATACGGGTGATGAGGAGTTAATGATTTACACAAGAATTATTCTGTAAACTTATAAGGTAAAATTCCTAAATGGTTTAAAGATTGACACAACATTAAGTACAAGACAATGTTTGTAAATTATCTGACTTGTTGAGCTGATTGATAAAATCTGAAAGTTAATTTTAGATGCTTGTGGACGAAGACACTTAAGTCTAGGTAAATTTCAAAGCACAGTATATTATTTTCAAAAGTATTAATGTGTCTTTTTCTAATAGGTGTGACTAATAAACTGAATATACTCAAATCTTTATTTTTCATGCTCATGGAGAAGTTTAATTGAGAAACGTAAACTCACTTAAGACATCTTAAACCTTCCTTTTCAACTATTTAGTTTAGCTATTTCCCTATTGCTTTGCGAAGACAATAATAATACATCCACAAAACTAACACATCTAAATTGTGGATTGTATTTTCTAAGAAATAGCCTAAGAACAATAAATTATTATAATTTGAGATATGTATGGTTTCCCTTACGAATCTATAACAATATTTTAAAATGTTAATCCTACTATGGCAAAAATAGCATCAAATTGAATTAACTAGAACTTTGATGGCTAAAGCAGATTATAACTTCACACTTAATTATGAATTATATCACATACAGAAATAAACTTTTTTTAAACCATTTTCTTCTACCCGTGTCTCAGAAATGGACACGCCCTACACAATAGAATCCTTTATTCAAGCATTTCCCCCTTCCTTCGTATCAGAAAACATTTAATAATGAATGACTTTTTCGTCTGTCTTCTTATAATACACGTTATTCATTAAATAGATGGAACTCAGTTTTATTAGAAAATAAGTGCTTTCCTGTATGGTTTATAACATACTGAGAACTCACATTGCATAAGGTATCTAAATATTCCAAGAATGTCCTCCAATATCTGCAACCTACTCTTGGAAATACTCTATAAATTTTTTCCTTTTGTTTGTTTTAATCCCTGCCCTTTTGGAGGAGGGAGAGTCTTGCTTGCTAGAAATCACAGTTTTAGTTTTCTGCTTGTAATGGTTAGGAAGAAGATAACTATCTATTTTTATCATGTGGTCTCACTGAATGGACTCTTACTACTATCTTTCCAAATGTTTATGTCATAAAGCTTTAGACACAATCAAATCAGAGACTTTTATAGATCCAATTGATATTAAAACTAGAATTATCTGACAACATCCCAACAGACAGGGCACAAAAGGATTTACAGAATTAGAACATACATTCTAAATGGACTTGGGATAGAAGAAGGGTCACATGGTAGAGACTTAAGGAGAATTGCTATCCCGCTTGTAATAAGGCTTCAATTTGCAAATACCCAAAGACAGGGTAATGATTAGTTTACTATGCCAGGTATGCTACAGAACATAAAGATTACAAGTTTTTGGTATTGGTCAAAAGTCGAATCAAGAATGACACCAGCAAATGACAAAATTTATTTTATCAGCCGTTGTGAGTAGGCCAGTGTGTGTAAGAGTGTATGTGTGTGTGTGTGTGTGTGTACACACTTGGGGGTGAGGTGGCATATGTAGTTAATAAATTGCTTCTTCCTTCCAAATCTTATTGATTTCTTTCCAGATTGAGACTTATCTGTTTTGATGTTAATCCTTTAAAGGTTAAATATATTGGAATTCTGTTCCTTCTATTTGGATATTTTGACATTCTGATGAATTCAAGTTCTTAGGTTTAATGTCATTGAATATATCAATCTTTTCTTTTGAAATTAGCGTTTTCAGTGTCTTATTTAAGAACTCTTTCTTGACCTTTGAGTAGAGAGATAGTCTCCTATATTTTCTTCTAAAAGTTTAAAGATTTTGCTTTTTGCATTTACATCTTCATCCATATTGAATTGAGTTTGTATATCAGGCAATTTTACTTTTTCCATATGGATAGCACATATCTCAGGATTATTTCTTTAATATTTCTACTTTTCCTGAATGATCTGTGATGTCACCTCTGTCATAAATAAATGAATCCTATCTGCAAGGATCTAATGCAATTTAAATCAAAATCCCAATAGGATGGTCTGGTGCTCTATTTTTTTCCCTTGTACAGGCTGTCTATCTATAAACCAAGGACTCTTTGCCTTTGTTACTATAATGTTATATACTGAACAACAGATCTATCTACCTTATTATTCATACCTTGGCTCTTGCCCCTTTGCTCTTTCATATAAATTTTAGATTCAGACCACCAATTTGCACAGAAACATCCTATTGGGATTTTGATTTGAACTGCACTGACGCAATACATTAATTTAGGGAGAATTGGCATGTTTTACAGCATTGCTTTGGTAAACATGTACATGGCATTTTACCCATGTAAGTTTTCTTAAAGGTCTTTTTATAAAATTTCTAATTTTGGCCACTCAAATTTTCTATTATTTGTTCAATTTATTCTTTGTATCTTATAATTTATACTGCTATTAGAAATACTGTTAAATATTATGTTTGCTAACTTAATTGTCAGATGCAGAAATGCAATTTCATTGTAAAGTAATGTTAACTAACAACCTTTAGTTAAAGTCTTTCTCTTTCTTTACTTCTAATAAAGGGATGTAGTTTACTTTGGATTTTCTATGTCGACAATTTTTTTCCCAATCCTTATGTGTTTTTCTTTTGCTTGCCTTGCTGTGCTTACAAGCACAGTGCTGGAAATAAACAGGGGAATTTTACTTTCCTTTAAAATTGTGATTTTAAATATAGTTATTCTAGGATTTTTCCATTAGAAATAGTATCTGCGGGAGTTACACTTCATCACATTGAGGACGGTCTCTTTATCACTAATTTGAAAGGAGTGGGATTTGGTTTGTATTAAATGTGTTTTCTGTATTTTATTGAATGTACAGTTTTTATAATTTAATTTACAAATTTGGTAAATTATGTACATGTATATATAAATTTTGCTATGTTAAACCATTCTTGCATTTCTTAGTTCAGTGATATTTCATTAAAGATTTTTGCATTTTTATTTAAAAGTGATTTTGACCTGTTAAATTTCTTTCTTGCGCTAACCTTGTAGTTTATACAGTCCTTCCCTCCACCCCCCAAAAACAAATGAGAATTATTCTTTCTTTTTTATTC